CTCCCTAAGGAAATGCTGACTAGATTGATGTGAATCTATTCAAATCCTGATATGAACAGAAAATTCTCATTAGTAGCAGGTTCACATGGATAAGGAGGAAGCTCTGGAACTCAGGATATAAAGTGCATGTCATAAGTAAAATTACAAGAAAACAGAAAAGAAAGGAGCCATAGCAATGTGAACTGGTCTAAATAGTAGGTTTTTGTCATTGAGAGAAACTTCTGATCTTTGTTGACTTGTCCCCTGATAGGATGAGGGGTAATGGCTTTAAACCACATACCTAATCTAAATCTACTCTATAAAAAAGGATTTATTCAGCCCAGATATTAGGAAAAAAATCTTTCACACTGAGTGTGTTTAGGCCCAAGCACAGGCTGCCCAGAGAAGCTGTCCCATCCCTGGAAGTGTCCAAGGCCAGGTTGGATGGGGTTGTGAGCAGCTTGGGATAGTGGAAGGTGACATGACAGGAGTTTTGAATGGGAGGACCTTTAAGATCCCTTCCAAGCCCAACCATTTTAGAAATCTATGAATCTATGATTTACATTCAGGGACTTGAAGGCCAGAACTTGCTTATATCTTTCAAAGCACAAAAGAGGATAAAATACTGAAATAACAAACACATGCTTGAAATGAAAAATTAGTAAATAGGATATTTATTAGGATATAGGAAATATTCGTAAATAACAGGAATAGAAGCATGGGGAAAAGCTTTGAAGTGGTGCATCAACTGGAAAATAATCTTTAATACAATTGTTTTCTTCTCTGCAGGCTGTAGTAGCAGTGAATGCTGTCCAAGGCACCTTTCCTCTCACTGCTTTGAGATGCACTCCCTTATTTTAATTTTGTGATGCACTTAGTTCTACTTAACCAGAAAAATATTTTCTATATTTTACAGAAGTTCCTGGAAATTAGCTGATTGTGGAGAAAAAGAAAATATAAACCAGGGGTCACAGGTTGCTGGGAAGGGTACTGGATGGATATCTCCAAGATGAGCTGCTCAAGGCCAGTGCTATGCACAGCACTCTTATTCAAGGATGCTGCTTAGAGGTGTCTGACCTAGTGTTTAATAGGTTTTCTGTCTTGGAAACTAATTTTCCCAGTTCTCACAGAAGAGATGAAAACAGGTACTCACTATACTCATCTCTCACATGACTAACAGGATGGCTAAAACAACTTGCCCAAGGAAGTTGTGAAGTCTCAATCCTTGCAGGTGTTAAAAACTTGAAAGAATATGGCCCTCAGCCACCTGTTGACTGTGGTCTGAACATGGGGATTGGCCCAGACATTCTCCAGAGGTGCTTTCTGTCCTCAGTGACTCAGTGAATTATGGTCTGGAGTGACTACATCCACAGTAAAAAGTTCAGATTTCCATGGTTAACCCTTAATTTGGCTTCTCTCTTTAGACAGACACAAAAAATTGCCATGTGGTGGCTTTTGCAATGTAAGTATTCTGCCATGTGCTGAAATCACCAAAATCTCACCACACGCATTATCACCATCTTTATTATTTGGGGCTGGCTTTCCAGTGTCCATAAAAGTTTGTTGGATTTTAACTGGTGGTTAAAAGGTTGTGTGTTCCACTTGTGTATTTCAGCTGTTGCACTTTACAATCAGTCCATGTCTGACAGGTGCAGGAGGAGCTGGAGCAGGGAAGAGCGACACGAAGCACTGGAGGTGTAGGTTAGGTGTAACCCTAACCCCATTACTTGGGGAGAAAGTGACTGGAAGAGAGTTCTCCTTATGCTCTTTTCCACAGACCAGCACAAACCACCACCCATTAATTAAATATAGCCATTTGTCAGCTGAAGGGAATTAGGTGATGGTAGAATGGGTGGATATAATGAAGAGTTATGAGTTTCAAGGCAAGAAATGTTCTTTGTTTCGGATGGCATGAAGAGGAACATATAACAAAGCTGGGATGAATCTGAGCAAGGCAAAAATTGGGTTAAAGAGAAATTACTGACGAAGGTGGTGTCCAGTTTGGTTCTGAAGTAGCACCTTAGGTGCAGTCATCTTAATTTAACAATTATAACCTAGATAAGAAAGTCTTCTATGGGAAACTTGATAAAGAATTAGGCAAAAGCATCTGTTTCCTACAAATTCACTTTCTTTTCTCAGATCCTCAATTCTAAGATTTAAATCCTTTAGGATTTTGTGGAGAAAACAGATTTCTCTTTACATGTATTTCCAGCTCTTTGATCTGGAAAATGGGGTCAGCTATTATGCACTGATTTAGTGAAGTATGAAATTTCGATTAGCAAATTCCATAATTTTTTCCACAAGTTCTGTTCAAAAATATCATTTTAGGCAAGGTGAACCTCTGGCATTAATACATTTCATCATTTTGTTAGAAACAAAATATCTTTAGGGGCTTTTATGTCTAAGGTCTTGCAGAGATTGAGGCAATTGACATTTAGTTTTGATCTTCCAAATCATGATCATTCAGAAAATTCTTGTGAGCCATAAGTGAAAATGTTCTTAAGATACTGGATAAATGTAATTACTATTGGTCATACAGGTTAATATTATTGTACACATCCAATAATTACTAAAGGTCTTCTTATTGACTTTATTGTTTGAGAGAGACCATTTTTCTATTAGAAACATTTATAATTGTTTTGCTGTAATTGTCCGAGCTAAGTTACAATTGTGTCACATAATGACCTTTAAAAATGTGTCTAGAAAAGCCTGCAGCTGTTCCTTCCTTGGGTTCTCTCTACTGAGTTATATTTAAGCCAGTGTCTCTGAAACCAGGCAGTAATAAAAGGGATATTATCCTTAGCAAATATCTTAATCATGGTAAATCTCTGTTGCCCTACAAATGACTGCATGGGGGATTAGAGTGGAGTAAGCCATTTGCTGAATATCACTGCCACCTTTCCGAGGCCATTTAAGCGTGTTTAATTTTTCAGGGTGAAACATGAAACCTACTAATACAAATGTTTGCATTTGGCCTGAATTATATCCAGACTGTAACAGTTAGAGCAGGCTTAGGACCAGATTGTGAGTGATCTGTAGGAGGCCAGTTCTGCTTGGGAGAGTGAGAGAGAAAAATGCATTTTTGTTCCCAGTCCCAGCTCTCTGATGTCACTTACGCTGCCTCGCTTCTTTTCAATATTTATGTAAGGCTATCATGGGGTGAAGTACCAGTAAATATATGGATGATGCTTAGCTCTGTATTTTTTATTATCAGTCACAGTCCTTACTGTCATCCAGTGCCTGGGGCTGTGAGTGTCTGGCTCAGGTTCATCCTGGCTAAAAAGGAAGTGACAATGCTATGGAGTACAAATTCTTTCAGTGGCTTGTGTCCTCCATAGCATCATTAGCTATCTGTTTGTTCATGCAGATTTTATTTATCAGGTTGCCCAGGAACACTGAGACTCCTTTTTTTCCAGTGGTCAAGCTTAAGAGAATGTTTTGGGAGACTGAAGTATTACAGTGCATTTCATGCTTTCTTTTTTCCTTTCTTTTAACAAAGCAGTGTCTTGTCTCTGTTCCTGCCCAGGAAACTTCAGCCATAGCCAGTTTGGACTCAGCCAGAGCCTTGGGAACTGGCAGCTCCAGGAGGTGCTTCCTGGGGCAGAATCCAGTGACTGTGAGGTGACACCTGTTTCAGGTGGCACAACCCTCTTACTCCACACTGCAGTGTGCCAGGAACACATCACCCACAAGCTCCCCTTGCTCCCGAGGAATGTGTACTCAGGTTCACCTCCCCAGCTCGATTTCTTGAGCTTTCCATCAGGCAGCTTTCCCCATAAGCCCTGAACATGACTTCCCAGAGCAGCTACGAGGGTAAGAACTGTGAGTGTGAGAGGCAGTGTTTTGTTGTTCATAGGATCATGGAATAATAAAACAGTTTGGGTTGGAAAGGACTTTAAAGACCATCTCATTCCAACCCACTTGCTATGGTCAGGGACACCTTCCACTATCCCAGGCTGCTCACAGCTCTATCCAACCTGGCCTTGAACACTTCCAGGGATGGGGCAGCCACAGCTTCTCAGTTCCAGTCCCTCGCTACCCTCATAGTAATAATGCAATAATTTCTTCCTATCACCCAACATAAACCTGCCTTCCTCCAGCCATTCCCCCCTGTCCTTTCACTACATGTCCTTGTGAAAAGTCCCTCTCCAACTCTCTTGTAATCCCTTTTGGAGCTGGAGCAAGTTGTTGTTGATTGCCTCATTTGCATCTTCAGTGAAGGTGTGGATGTCTGTCCATCCCAGTGTTCACTGTGCTCAGTGCAATATTCTCTGTGTTTAAATCCCACACAAGTTTCCAGATGACAAGCCCTGACTTTGAATGGTCAGCAGAATTTAATATGTATTCTAAGGACCTTAAATGAGACCATAGGATGTGTGGTTAAGCAGTTATACTTGTTAATTGGGAGATGTAGCTAATAATAACCAAATTTAAAGAGGAAATTGAGTTAGTGCCTGTAAGAAATGAGACATTCACAGTGGACCCTCTCATTAGAGACTTAAAAACTATTATTTTTCTAAACTTAATCACCTATTTCATTTTTCAACCACTTCAGCCAGGCACAAGCATTCTTTTCTGTGACAGTGATTTAACATAAATTATGTGTGTAGCTTGTCCGATTGGAGAGTTTGTATCTTTGTGCTTTTAGCTTGAATGTGTGGTTTTTCCCTAAGGAAAATGTAAATTCTGTTAAGTGGATAAGGTTTTATTATACTCTGTTTTCTAGTGTATAGACAGGTTAAAGCTTTGATTTAATTTCCCTCACAGAAGAAACAAAATTCCTATGGGAGACAATTATAGGTGAAGATGAAACCCCTTGGTGTGTTCAGTGTATCTTTCAGATACTTTCATGGTGATTTTGAGTGAAATACCTACATAGATAAAATGGATAGAATAACAGAACTATTTGGATTAGAAAAGCCTTCTAAAATCATTAAGTGCAACAATTAACCTGACGTTATCAAGTCCACCATTTAGTCTTCACAGGTATACAAGATTTCTTTCTTTTTACTTACTCTGAAGGTGTGAAGAGCTTCTATTTTCTGATTCCAGCCACTGTTTCATACACTCAGTGTTTGTGGGTTTATCCCTGTGGCTACTGCTGAGGAATGGCAGCTCTTTGCAGAGTCTCCCATGAAAGTGAGGCCTTAATTGTGTCTTCACCTAGAGAGGTGGATCAGAAAGTGTTTTCATGTTCACTAAATATTTTAGAAGGTTTTAAAGTTTCTCTGCAGCAGGATAAAAACTAGAAACATTCAGAGATTTTTGTAAAAAGGCTGCAGAATGAGAAGGAAAATGATGTACTGGAATAGGGTCCAAGGTTAAGCTTCTCAGCTGGACTGAAGGTTCAGACCAGGGTTTTCACATTCCATTTGATGCTCTCATCACCAGATAATTGCCTGTTTTGAGGAAGCTGGTTTTTTGGCTTCAAAAAATTACTGGAAATTCAAGTAGGAATTTCCAGGTTGAGTGTGAAAAGTCATTTTGTTCTCATGCTTTTAAATCAGCATGCCCCTGTTTTGGTGTAATACATGTTTTCTCCATGAAGATTCTCCTGAGAAAATCTAATCTAAGGTAGAAATTAGCCCTTCTTTGAACATGGATTAAACCAGATGACCTCCTGAGAAGTCTTCCAATCTAAATTCTTCTATGATTCAGCTTGGAAAGTTCACCCTCAATCTCTAATAAGGAAAAATGATTCTTGAACCTAGAGTTAATGTACAGTAAAAAATGTCACAATGAGTGCTGAATGCCATGGTCTAAAGACTTATGTATTATCTTATAAACTAATTGTTAGCTAGTGTTCTCAGTTGCTGAGTAGTTTTATGCATATGGACTTATTCTAAGGATATAGATATAGATTAGATATATATAGATATAGATATAGATATAGATATAGATATAGATATAGATAGATATATATGTGTGGTTTTGTGTGTGATATTAGGCACAGAGAACTGTGTAAGGGAAGGACAAAAATCATGTCTATGCCAGTAAGTGACACAGGGCCAGGGACAGCTCCAGGCACTGGATGACGCTCGTGTGCTCTATGGTACCACTTTGACCTGGTACAAGCAGAAGCATTCAAGAGGAAATGACTGATTATGCTTGCAATTTTACCATGGGTCACAAACCCTTCCCATTTAGCTATCTGGATGCTGTTGTGGCTACATTTCAAATGATAAATAACATAAGGATGTGGAAGGTCATTCTACAGGGGCCAGGGAGGTTGAGGTTGTATTCCTGGCTGTGCCCTGAGTTGCCTGGGGTGTCCACAGACATGCCACTTCAGTCTTTTTAGTTTCTTTATGCCACTTCCATTTTCTTAGTGTCTTTCTTTCACATGTGTAAATGGCTTGCTGTAAAAACTCAGCTTTTCAAAGCAGTTTTTGTTTTCTGTGGTATGTTGGCAAGCACATATGGGAAGGGCCTATTCTAGGCTGGGACCTCTAGAGGTTCCCATAATCCAAATAATAATGGTAAAGACAAGGGAGTGACATGTGATTTCTTATGAAATGACCATCCAGTCTCCTTGAGAGATGTAAACTGAGCGATTGTTCTGTGTGTACCAGCTTTACAAGAACTAGAGTGCCCATTTCAAGAAGGATTTGGGGACAAGGTTCTGCATATCTGTGCTTGCAACAGGCAGGAGCAGCTTCCATAGTTATTAAACTTAGTATAACTTCTATTGGATCTGCCATGGAAGAACTGCTGTGAAAGAAAAGCCATGGAACATGATTCTGTTTGCATTTGAGCTGCTGCGATATAGAGTAAATGCCCGACACATGAAGGACTCCTTCATGGATGAGATAGGTTCCTAAAGATGGGCTTTCACCCTCCCTTGCCATATTACCATGTAGATAAAAATAAAATACCATGCCTCCTCACTTATCTGTCTGCCAAACGAAATCTTAGGCTATTTAACAAAGCTGACGTGTGCTTGGTTAGAACACATTCATTAAATGTGTTGGTAATGCCACAGAGGGAATGTGTAATGGGAGAGATCAGTGCTCCTGTAGCAAATGCAGTGCTAAGGCTGGGGTTGTGCTGGGAGCTGAGGTGCACCCTGGGCCCAGAATCACTGCTGCCTCTGCTGAGCTCACCCCATGGGGAGGTGGGAGGGTCCTGCCCTGCTGGGAGCCCACCTGTGGATCAGCTGAGTAATTAAGTGTTTGTTTGCTTCCAGATGAATACAAGAGTAAAGTAGCCTGTGAAGATGACAAGCTGAGGCTGAGCTGTAAGAAGAGCATGGTGATAGCCATTTACTCTGCTATCTTTGGGAGGACACAAGGAGGCAGCCTGGAGTGCCCATACCAAAACCTAGGGATGCCCATGATTGGTAAGCTGAGGAATATCTTGATGACACACTGATGTGGGCAGGGTGATTTCATTTACTGTCATCACAGCAGAGCTGGCACAGATCCTGGTCAGAAAAGCAGGACTGGGACATGTAATCTGCCATGGTGGTGCTCCTGATGTGTGGTACCTTGTCAACCAGGGATGAGCTTCAGCATGAGCAGCAAACTGAGGTGCAGCTGTATGTCCTAGCTGAGTTCCCAGGCCACAGGCTTTTCACAGATTCATCTGATTATATGATTGAAGGTGCTTGAATTTCTTGTTCAATTCTCTGTCTTCATGGTGGTTCACCCACTGAGCCTCTGCCTGTAAAATGGAGGAACATATTATCTGGGGATGTCATGTACATCTGCAGCACCTGAAGCCTTGACATTGCACTTAAACTTTCAGTGAAGTTAAAGCAAAGGAGCAAAGCAAGCTTAAAAAAGCAAGCTGTTAAAGTTCATCATGTTATGGCTGGCTTACAGTACCTTCAAGTATCTTCCTTACTCTCAGACTATCAGAGTCTCTTACAGTCATGAGTTAAAGATAAATAATTGAAAAACATTCACTGGAACTGTCTGTTCCTGAGCTGATGTGAAATGACTTTGAATATTTTAGGCTGTGGCAGAGAAAGCAACAGTCACAGTACAAAATCAGGTGCTCAGCATTTGTCATAATTCTCTTCAGAGCTGAGAGGGAGTTAAGTGGTTTCCCCAAAGGAATTGCCTCCAGAGAGGGAAAGGATTCAGAGGACACCACACAGGGAACCTTTATCTGGTGCTATTGTCTGTGCTGGGACCTGCTCAGCTGTATCTGAGGATCTTTGGCTTCACAGCTGCTGATCCAGTGCCCTTAAGGAGCTAAATGCTATTAAAATGGAAGCATGTCAAGTGAGTGCTTGGAAATATGACACTCAGATGATGGGTGTCAGTAGAAACCCACAGGTGGAATGAGGCCAGTCAAGTTATTTGTGCAGCGTGGCGAGTGGCTTCTATAGCTGTGCAAATCTGAGCACTTGGAGCACAGCTGAGTTGTGCAGGGTCTTCTGAGGTGACCAGTGTTCTTGGATGTGCTCCTGGTGTCCCCCAGTTGCCAGGTAGCAGAGGCCAAAACAGACGTGTGTGGCAGGTTAGCCTTGGTGTGGTGTTTGGGATGGGCTGAGTGTGTGCACTGGGTGCTGAGGTGAGAACTTGCCAAGTCAGTGAAACAGGATGGGTTTCTGGAGCAGACATGAGCACCCCACTCTGTTGTCCTTGCTGACAGAGCAGGAACAGGCACTTGCCAGTGACAAGGTATCAGCACAGGGACCCGCTCTTCAATGTCAGCATGAAGCAAAACTGTGAAGCCACAAAGGGTAAAGTTTTACCCTTCTTTGCCCAGCTGCAAAGTCATGAAACTTGTACTGGCTGAGAGCATGGACCAGAAAATGGGACAGGAGGCACAAATAGGGAGAACAAGCAATGGGCTCTGACAGCAGGGCTGCATGTGCCATAGGATATCCAGCACCTCTGTTCTCAAACTGGCCTTGTGAGCTCTACAAATTCGGATGTTTGCCCAAGGAAATGAGGTGTCAGATCCTAGAGTGCAGCACGCAGCCTGCTGCTGGGATGAGGCAGGGCCTTGCTCAAGTGTCAGCTCCTAAATGAAACTACTTACAGGACTAGGCTCGGTATAAGACAGTGTACTGCCAAGTCAGGAGTGGGAATGCAGGGAAAACTATGCTAAAATCCAGCTCAAGGTTTTAAACTGTGAGCTGATGCTAAAAATGACTGAGTTGTTGGACAGGAGCAAATATCCACATGTTTGGAATTTCTGGGGTCTAAAAAAAATGAAGATTATTTTAAGTCAGAGTGGTGCTCCTGGGGTGCCGTGGGAGTGGGTGTGTGCAGCCTGCATAAGAGCAAAGGGAGGGTGGGAAGGGTGTCTGGAACATCTGCTGGCTGCATGCCCTGCAGGGCTGGGGAGATGTGAGGAACTCACCGTGGAGCAGTGACTTCCTCAGGCTTCCCCAGCCATTTGGGCACTGTGTGTGTAGGGTGAAAGACAGATTACAGCTGTTGATGTTTCCTTGCACGTTGAAATCCTGAGCGAATTGTGGGAGCGGGGGTGAGCTTACCTAAAAGAAAACTGGGGGTGAGCAGATGGTCATTGCCAATTCACCATGCTCTTAAATCCCCACTGTGTTTGGGAGGGGTTGTTCAGATGTCTTCAGGTACAGCTCACTGATCCCCTTGGCATAAGGCAGTCTCTGCTTCTCCCTTCACTGCCAGTGTGAGCTGCCCCAGTGGGGCAGTGCTGCAGGAATGGGGAGGTGAGTTGCGGCTGAAGTTCTTCTCTTGGCTCCACAGAAGAAACTAGAGTAGGATCCTCCTCCAACACAAATCAGCAAAAAAAGCACATTCACACTGTGCTTCCCCATGGCACCCTGCAAACCTCCCACTCCTGTCTCCAGTGACAAGAGCAGGTTGTGCTCCCAGCTTCACGAGTGGTTGTGGGAGCAGCACTCAGGGTGCCCCAGCCCGCTTCACAAACTGCTCTTCTCACGGGCCTGCCTAGCCCAGCAGGCAGCTCTGTTCCTTCAGGAGCAGGTGGAAACATCACAATTTATAAATCAAAGTTACTGCTAGCTGGAGAACATTTCCCTGCACGTTTCCACAGCCCTGCAATGTGGGGAGGGCTCCTCTGTGGCAGCCTTTGATCCCAGACATTCACAAGCTGATCTTACAAACATGACCGTATGAGTCAGACTTTGCAGCAACATCCAGTTCCTGCAAGGCAGAACCCAGCTATGTTCTGTACATGGGAGATTTATTCTGTTTGAATTTCATGGGACTGATGATTTGTGTCAAGTCTGAGCCTTGGCAAAGGGCATTTTGCTGGGAAGTAGGCCCTGCACAAGTTCGCAGTGATTATTTATATCCATGCAGCCTGAGCTACTTGATGAGTGAAGAAGTCATACTTGCCCCAAAAGCGGTGAAGATTACCTTTTCTTCCTTTTCTAATGAAAAACAGTTCAGAAAATTTTATTTCATTTTTCTTTCTGTGGACAAAATGCACATTTGGATTGAATTTAGAGATATACAGCTTCTACAGGTGAGACTTTTAAAGAACTGAGGTCTAAGATGGGCAGGACAGGTGGCCTAATAGAACATTGAATATGTAAGGTAAATCAGTTCAATTTGTGTTGTTTCTGCCTTGAAAAACAAGACCTTGTACTCCTGTAAAAATGTTAAGGAGATAAAGCTCACTATCACTGAATTTCCTGGATTCTACTTTAGGATATCAGCTGGTTTCAGAGGTATCCTGGTGCTGCAGTCCTTTTAACCCAGATACTGCTGTGCTGCTTTTGGGTGATGAAAGATCCCAAGTCATCCTTCATGTGCCATGCCATGCCATGCCATGCCATGCCATGCCATGCCAGATACATGCTTTCTCTTTGTGCAATGTCTATGTGAACGTGTTTAGCATCTGTGAAGAGAAAGTTATGGTGGAGAACTTCATCCTGTCATTGTCATGTTAAAGTGAAAATCTGTCAGGATCCTCCTTTAACTGGAAACATGCTGAAACTTATGTCTCTGACCGTAATGGGAAACCCCTGCAAACAGCTGGAGCCTTCCTTGAATGCCTTGGGAACTCTGAAAAGCTCCTAAAAGAATTTGACCTTATTTGTAACTCTCTTAATAAAGCCTCCACTTTGCTGCCAGCATGTACAGAGAGCATACACAGAGCATGGGGAGGTCTCTGGGGAAAGGGCTATTTACAAGCAATGAACCATTAATATCCCTCAGCCAAGTGAGCCCTTTGCCCCCTTTTTCTGCTGTTTACAGCTGCCTTTGCCTGCATCTCCCCCTGTCTTGTTTATTCCAAAAGAAGTAGTTTAAAAAATGGCCTTTTTCTACATGTGTCTGAGTGCAAGGTAACGATCTAATTAGGAGACTGAGGAGGAAGATCTTGGACATAAAATGATTACCCTGTTTATTGCTTAGTGGAGCAATATCTTTGGTCATATTCAGGACACCTGAGTTGTTTACATTTTTCATTTTTACAGTAGCTCCCCCCCTGAACCACAGAGGGTGAGATGGACATGCTCAGCTGACCTCTAACGTAGGATCCAGGACTCCTTCCCAAGGACTCTGTCTTTTTCTGTCATGTATACAAAAAGCCCAAAGCAATTTAATTGCTCATCCTGGGTAGAAGGAATCTGGGCTTGGTTTTGGAGCTGGTGCAAGATCGTGGGAACCCTGGCTCCTCAGCCTTGCTCTGGGTCCTGGGGTGTGGATTAAGCTGAGTACTCTGCTGGGACTGAAATGTCCTTGTCACTTAACATACAAGTTGTCTCCTGTGCCTCTGTAAAGGGGAGAAATGAATGTGTTTACAAAGCCCTGAGGAAACTCATATGGTCAGTGGCACTCTCTGACTCATGGGATCTGATAATGGAAGAGCAGAGGAAGGAATTCAGCAGAGCCCATGCTTTAGGTGCTCATTCCCTGGCATTTTCACTCTAATGTAGGGACAGAAGGTGATCCAACCCAGTCTGTTTGGATTTCCCCCTCTTAATGCAGATGTATATAAGACTTAAAGCAGAGTCCTCATATAAATATTTATTGTACCATATAAATAATGGACCCTTCTGATTTGTTTATCTGTGACCAGATCTAGCATGTGCATGAATATGAAATACATGCATTAAAAAACCCATTTTATTCCAGGGTACATGTTCCTGCCAGCACAAGAGCTGCCTTTAAGAAACTGCTGCCCCTCCAGCTGTGCATTTCTGGCTCTCTTCTGCTTCACCATCTATGACTGTTTTCCACCCTGTTTCTATCAGGACAAGGTTGTGGCTGTGCTCTAATTTTAGTCTTAAATAAAATGCTTAAAAATAAAAAGGTGTTTAAAGTGTGGAGCTGGACCAATGAGGAGTAGTAACCCCTGGCCCTGAAGGGGGAAGCAGGGGGTGGCTGGGGCTGCAGGAAGGGATGGGATATCCACAGAAATCTGTGCTGGTCAGACAATGCCATGTAGCACAGCTGACCTCCGTCAGATCCAAGTGGCTGAAAGACTCTCGTGCTTCATCCTGGTTTCTCTGTCTGGCCTTTAAAGCAGCTGCAGTGCTGGGTCTGTGGGATGAGCAGCAGTTGTGGGGGTCAGACCCTGTCATTCCTCTCCCCAGAGCACACCAGGCTTCCAAAGCACCCCTCCTGTAGGTGTGACTGTGTATGCTTCATTTACTTTCAGGACAAAAACTACTTTATTATGTGTATAGCTCATGATTAAGAACATGTTTTTAGAGGCAAATCTATTTGTATGCAATAAACCCCACAAGTATCCAAATCTGAAGGATAAATAAATATCAGTTGCTGTTTAAATCATATATCATACCTTATTAAATTTAAATTGAAATGCAGTTCCCATTTAGAATGCTGAGTTAAAGTGGGACAAAGCCTGCTTTCAGAAACTTGTTCTTCAATTTTAGATACTTTATATGTTTCACTTTTTGTCTCAAAACACCAGGAGGTAATTAAAATCACTTTACAGCTGTTTCTAGAAAACTCCAACTATTGTTGGATTCCATAGAGCCATAAAAATGCTTTATATGAAATTGTTTTTATATGCACACAATAGCTATTAAAAAAATAATTAAAAAGTCCATTCAAATGTGAGTCTGGACAAGATCTTTCTTTAAACCAAGGTTCAAGTTGGTTTTGAAATGCTGTTTACAGTGGAGTATGACCCCACACAGTGATTGTA